GCCCACCAGGCTGTCGTAGAACAGCATCGAGGCAGCGCTCGAACTCGCAGCCGCTGATCCTGACGACGCCGTCGGATCCGAAGGAGCCGCCTTCGGAGTCGCCGAAGCCGCCTGCCGAGGCGTCGGCGTAGCCGCCTTCGGCGCAGCCGCCTTCACAGGCGTCGGCGCAGCCGCCTTCGCCGCGGCCGCAGGCGGCGCAGCCGCAGCCGCCTTCGCCACAGCCGCCTTCGCCACAGCCGCCTTCGCCACAGCCGCCTTCGCCACAGCAGCCGCCTTCGCAGGCGTCGGCGCCGCCGCAGCCGCCTTCACAGCCGTCGCCTTCGCAGGCGTCGCCACAGCCGCCTTCGCCACAGCCGCCTTCGCCTTCGGCGTCGCAGCCTCCGCCTTCGGCGTAGCCGCCTTCGCCGCAGCCGCCTTCGCCACAGCCGCCGCCTTCGGCGTAGCCGCCTTCGCCGTAGCCGCCTGCGGCGGCGTCGGCTCCACCGCCATGGCGTCCTCAGCCTCTACCGCCTGGGCTTCCTGAGCCTCTACCGCCATGGCTTCCTCAGCCTCCGCGGCTTCCTCAGCCTCTACCGCCATGGCTTCCTCGGCCTCTACCGCCACTGCTTCCTCAGCCTCTACCGCCTGCGCTTCCTCAGCCTCTACCGCCATGGCGTCCTCAGCCTCTACCGCCTGGGCTTCGTCATCCGTCACATCGATGACAGCCTCTTCCGCCATGGCTTCCTCAGCCTCTACCGCCGTGATGGCTTCCTCAGCCTCTACCGCCTGCGCTTCCTCAGCCTCTACCGCCTGCGCTTCCTCGGCCGCTGCCGCCACGGCGCCCTCCTCCTGAGGAGCAGCGAGCGACAACGGCGGCAAACCAAAGTAGTCTCCCGTGGCTTTATCGATTAAGGTAGACTCCCCCCAATCCAATTCGCACTTCTTCATATCGTCTTCCTCTTCTGTATCCTCTGGTGGTTGGGTGGGGGAGGGTGGGGGCAGATCATCTTACTACTCCTCCTCCTCCTCCTCCCCCTCCTCCTCCTCCTCCCCCTCCTCCTCCTCCTCCTCCTCCTCCCTCTTCCTCCTCTCTCTTCATCCTATCTTGCTCCTCCTCCTCATCTCGCCCTCGAGCGCCCCCTTGAATTTCCATGGATCGATTCGTCTAGTTTCCTGCGGGTCCCCGATGCCCCAGGCTTCGCGGAGAAAGGTGGGCGAATGGACCAGCGTGCACTCGGAGTCTGAGCAGCGCCCTTGCTGTCGAGACAAGCGAAGGAGGATGAGCGAGTCGAAGACGGTTCGAGGAGGAGGCGCGAGGAGGACAGGAGGGGAGGAGGAGGAGGAGGAGGAAGAGGCTCGAGAAGGAGGAGGATGAAGATGAGAACAAGGAGAGTGAGAACACAGGATGAAGTGAGATCCGCTCGACGGAGCAAAACCTCCTCCGAGGAGAAGAGCAACCTCCCCTCGATTACGCCTTTCTCCGCGTCCTCGAGTGCCATCCATTCCTCCTCGGTGAGGTCCTGGAGGACAGCATTCAAGGATGGGGAATGGAGCACGGGAGTCGGAGGAGGGATGCGACGATTGCGTCAGCCAATGATGCCCTCCTCCCCTCCTTCTGCTTCTCCTCACCCTCCCCCTCCCCATCCTCCTGCTCCTGCTCCTCCTCCTCCCCCTCCTCCTCCTCCTCCTCCTCCTCCTCCTCCCCCTTCTCATCCTGCTCCTCCTGCTCCTCTTCCTCCTTCTCCTCCTCCTCCTCCTCCTCCTCCTCCTCCTCCTCCTCCTCCCCCTCCTCCCACCTGAGTAGCCAGCGAGGGGAGGGCAGTATAGGCTGACGCGTGTCAGAGTTCGCTCCTCGAGCACGCTGTTCTGGAAGAACGCGTTCAGCTGCTCTGGCGACACGTCATCGTCGTCGTCGCTGTCTGGTGGCGCCGTCGAGCTCGAGGTCGCGTCCTGCCCATGACCCATTGATGTCGCTCTCAGCGTTGTTTGTTGCTGCTGCTCCTGCTGCTGCTGATGACGATCTTTCTGCTGCTCTTGCTGTTGCTCCTTTTCCCGCTCCTCGCCCTACTGCTGCCCAAATCGTTCGGTCATGATCTTGGGCTCGCCTCGTCATGCGCATCGCGATCTGCTGCGGCACCTCCTCGTCATCCCTGTCGTCACCATCGCTGTTTCATGCTGCTCCTCCTGCCCCCCCTTCTCCCCCTCACCAGTCTACTCCTCATCCTCCTCCTCATCGGTATTTCAGGCCCTCTGCATCATGCCGCTCCTCCTCCTGCTCCTCGAGACCTCCTCATCCTACCCCGCTCCCGTGCCACTCCTTCGTCACCTTCAAGTAGCGGGAGTAGAGAATCCGAACCGCCCTGCACTGCAAGTACCTGTAGAGCGGGAGGCGCGGCCGACATCATCGTCAAATTAAGCGCCCTCGAGGCCGCCGTCGAGATCGTCGCCGTCCTTTTCGAAATCGTCGCCGCCGTCGTCGTCGAGACCGTCGCCGATGCCATCGTCGAGGCAGTCGTCGTCCTCATCCTCATCCTCCTCCTCATCCTCCTCCTCCTCCTCCTCCCCCGTCTCCTCCTCCTCCTCATCATCCGCCTCCTCCTCGCCCTCCTCCTCATCCTTCTCCCACTCCTCCTCCTCCCTCCTCCTCAGTCCCCTCCTCCTCCTCATCGTCCTTGTCCTTCATGCCCCCGTACCCTTGCAATCATCGATAGAAGAGAAGCGGGCACATGATCCCCTCGATCCGCTTGTTCTGGGGCTTGCGCCCGTGTTCGAGCCTCCACGCGGTCTCGTACTCCTCCCAGAAGGCTTTGCTCCAGGCTTCCTTCGGTTGACAGTTATATTCGAGCCTCTGAGGGGGGTCTCGGGTTGATAGATTTTGATGGGTGTCGGCCATGGAAACTAAACCTGCTGTTTGATGCCCTGCCCCAGGCGCTGAGAGAATGCTGATGGGGGTTTGATGGGCGCTGCGCCCCCCCCCCCCAACACCTTGATGGGGTTTTGTTCGCGGCGCAAAAGGTGCATTTCATTGATTGGTTTTCGACGATGACCAGTCGTCGTTGATGCGTTTGGTGACACGCAGTAGGTTGCTTCGCGCCGTTTGCGGTTCGCGCATAGTTTCAGCGTTCGCGGCGGCATCCGATTCCAAGGCCTCTCGTCGTTCTGGTCGCCCCCTTGCGTTGTGCAGCATTTGTTTTGCCCGTGCGCTGCTTCGCGCAATTCATGAACGACGTTGTCGTGTCAAATGCAGAAAACTCGCCTCCCATGTTATCATAAGTCATCTTGCATCCTCCTCCTCATCATATCAGTCGTCGATCGACCTTGATCGTTTTTGTTCATATTCCTCTTCATCATATCAATCATGCATCTCCTTCTCCTCTTCCACCATTAGTTTCTCCTATCTCCTCCTCCTCTTCCACGATGCATCTCCTCCTCCTCTTCCACCGCTTCATCTTCCTCTTCGTGGATATGTTCCACGGTTCGTCTCTCCATAGGCAGTCTTGGGGCCATATCGGCTGTCTCGGGGCCATCATAGGCTGTCTTGGGGCCATAACGGCAGTCTCTGGGCCATCATAGGCTGTCTTGGGGCCAACATAGGCTGTCTTGGGGCCATCATAGGCTGTCTTGGGGCCATAACAGGCTGTCTCGGGGCCATCATAGGCTGTCTTGGGGCCATAACAGGCTGTCTTGGGGCCATCATAGGCTGTCTTGGGGCCATAACAGGCTGTCTTGGGGCCAACATAGGCTGTCTTGGGGCCATAACAGGCTGTCTTGGGGCCATCATAGGCTGTCTTGGGGCCATAACGGCAGTCTCGGGGCCATCATTGGCTGTCTTGGGGCCATATGGGCTGTCTTGGGGCCATCATAGGCTGTCTTGGGGCCATCACAGGCTGTCTTGGGGCCATCATAGGCTGTCTTGGGGCCATCATTGGCTGTCTTGGGGCCATCATAGGCTGTCTTGGGGCCATCATAGGCTGTCTTGGGGCCAACATAGGTTGTCTTGGGGCCGTCATAGGCAGTCTTGGGGCCGTCATATGGTGTCTTGGGGCCATCATAGGCTGTCTTGGGGCCATTACAGGCTTTCTTGAAGCCATGTCGGCTGTTTTGGGGCCCATAGGCTGGTTAGGAAGCGTGCTTGGCCATCTTGGAGCCGCCATTGGCAATCTGTGTCCGGCTTGAGGCACCACTGGGTCCTTCAATATTTGAGTGGAGGCGGCGTTGTCAGTTTTGGATTGAACGCCTTGACCAGAGCAGTGGCCGAGAATACACCATTCATGATTCCAATCAGTGCACCATGACACGTTCCTCGTTCTCATGATTTGGAGTTTGCTTCAGCCGTTTTGGCAATTGAAGGAGTTTCGTCACCCGACCTCCGCTTAATGAAGCTGTTCTGCTGCACGCTTTTCTGCTGCACGCGATTGATGTTGGATGCTGCATCGGAGTCGGAAGAGGATTTTCAGATACCAGTCCCAGCAGTCGCATCGGATTCGGATGAAGATTTTCAAATACCAGGGCCAGCAGCTGCAGATTCGGACGAAGATTTTCAAACACCACCACCAGCAGCAGCTGCAGGTCATCTCGTTGCCGTTCCAGCCCCCGTTCAACCGATGGCTGCCCCTGAGGTTTTTCGGATCAGCAGTGCGAGCTTGTATCATCCAGCACCAGTGGTGAAACATGGGGTTCGGTCGATATCGCGAGGGGTCAGGGCGATCTGTGATCGTTTGGAGCCTTTGCCAGAGGATGCAGTGTCATCTGGAGTCCCATGTCTTAGCAGCATAATTGTCGGTGGCACTGGGAGCCAACGCGATAGGTTCACCCTGTGCAGCGCCAAGAAAATGAGTGAGTTTTGTGGCATTGCTGAACCGAACTGGCATCAATCCTTGTGTGCAGTGAGCCACGCATACTACCAGGCGTTGAGAAGCACCGTGAAATTGTTCTCATCGTGGATGTTGCACTGCACCAGCGTTCGTCACTCGTCTGATGGTCAGCCAGATGCTCGAATCATTCCTCTGGTCCAGCTTCGCATGAGAGCATACGATGGCACCACACATTCTATTCGGGTTGTGTCGCCGAGCTCGGCTGGGACTGGAGGCGCTTGCATATTAGAGGACAACAAAGCCAAGTACGAGGTGAACGTGGTGGCGGCCATGAGGTCGTTTTGCCTGCAGCAGGAGAAGGGCGGCCAGACTCGTATCATGAACTTTGCCATCAACGAGCCCTCATTGTTGCAGAGCGGGGACGGCACTAAAGCAGAATATCTTGATCGGTACATGGCCCATCTGGAGATGGAGTTGGACCCACAATTGGATTCGAAGTTTTTTCGCACAGTGGACCTCATCATAAGTGACGAGGCCGGGGCCAACACGAGGTTCGAGAATGAGGTTCGACAGAAGCACCCCGACCGAGCATCGTTGCACTTGTATTGTGACGCACACAAAAAATCCAAAGTAGCCACTCTTGGATCGGACGTGCAGCGCCCGATAGACACGAAGATCATCAGGTTTCAGCTGAGCATGCGCGGTCACCACGCCTCCCTGCGCGTTGCGATGCGAGATATCATTAGAGAGCGGTTGGTCGTCATCAATGCGGCAAACGTGGATGCCGAGGCTGAGGATTACCGACGTATTGCGATCAATTCTTTCATGCCGACCGAGTGCGCCTCGGATGTCTTCAGGAAGAACATCGTCACTCGCCTGTTCAATGGAGATTGGAGGAGGTCGGACCGAGTAGAGCATTACTGTTGCGGCTGTTGCGCATCTCGGGAACAGACTATGCTTATCATGGAGACCGTTGGCGTGAAGGCCCTCACGTCGTATGTGGCCAATGTGCTGGATAGAAACAATTGGACTGGGGCGCATCGCTCCGTGTGTGGGCTTGCTCTTGCATCCTTTTGCCACAATATCTTGCCGATTGCGTATTGCGAACATTTCAGGTCATCTCTACTCGCTGGCGGCGACGACGATATGCACCGCCCGCAGGACATGCCCGACGACCCCCGCCAGGATGATCACAAGGACGTGAGCGTGTGGCGCGAGGAGAACAAGTCCCGCGAGAGCCAGTCTTTGCAATGGTTGATGAGCGGCCGCTTCAAAGACGACCTATACTTATGGTCCAGGTCATTTCTCCCTTCCCCCAGTGATCCGTCGCCCTCCTGCCGCCTCCCCGACCCCTCCTACTATACCTTGCCTTCTCTCCTCCTCCTTTCCCGCTCCCTTCTTATTACCTGCCCCTGGTCTTCCCACTTTCGCTCCTCCTCCTCATCCTCCTCCTCCCTCTCCCCCTCTTCATCCTCGCCTTGCTGCTGCGACCTCCCCCCATGCTGCTGCGCCTCAGGTCCCACTGCCACTGCCACTATCTCATCCTGGACGAGCTCTCGAGATCTGGCACTGAATGGGAACTCAAACAGCAGAAATGTCTCGTCGACTACGGCTCCAGAGATTACCCGATATGGGCAGCATCCGACGATGAGGAGGCCCATAAGTTTGCAAGTGTGATGTCTCGCGAAATTTTCCACTCCGACTGGCCATTGTTGACAAGGGTCCAGGAAGACTCCCAACTCGACGTGTACTTGGTTCTTTCCAGATTGGCAGCTGCTTCCTACGAGCTCGTGGAGGTTCGGCACAGGAGGCCGCCGTACAGGACGTTCAACTTGCTTAGGGACCCGACCACGCTGGACTACTTGGAGGGATCTCCTACGTGCGTGTTCGATGAGTACACGGCTGGATTCGTTTCCCACTATAAGGCGCGTGGCGGTTTGAATGGTCAGGTTGCGAGGGCCGAGCTATCATCAATTCTACCTCTACTCAAGACGAGCACGGCCATGATAGAGCGCACGCACAGCGAGAACTTGAGGCAGAGTGAAACTGGGAAGTATTCTTGGGGTATCGATCTACCCTCTATGGGCGGTTTTGCTTTGTGCAGACAGCAGATGAAGGTTCAGAGGTCAGTCTTCCGAGCGGCCCCAGCGGTCAGCGCCGAGGCGCGCAAGGTGGATGCCAAGCGCCTTGAGCGCAGCGGCGTGCACTACTCGATGAGGCCATGGGTGTGGAGAGCGTTCGTGCACGTGGAGGCGGAGAACCGTTTCGTCGACGCCGCCCTAGGCGCCGAACTGTCAGCCAAGTACCGCGCCTTCACCCCTGAGGAACGGCAGCCATTCGAGGACATGGCAGCCGTCGCGCTACAGGAGTACAAGAGTGGCAGGCACGGTTTCGGCCATAAGGCACGGCAGAGCACGACGACGCCACTGGCGGGTGCCAGCGTGAAAGTACGTGCCTTCAGCGATGCCGCAAACGGTGATGGGCTGAGCCAGGCCGTGCACGACGTCGTCTCGACGACGGGGTCCAGTCAGATCTTCCGACGTGCAGCGGTGGCAGCCCAAGACTACAAGAGACGCAACAGAATTTCAGCTCGCCAGGACATCTCCGACGAGGCCGACCTCCGTGCGAGGTCCGATGCAGATGCTGACAGATATGCCAAGGACTGGTTCTTCATTGGTAACGATGTGCCCGCCAACGAGCGCTCCGCCGACTTCGCCGTCCAGCGCGCCATGATGCCGACGGCTATTTATGTTCGGAAGCCAGAGTCGCTCGCGTCCGAGGTCATTCGGTCGTTGGACATCGGCAGCGTGAAGACAGAGGCTGAGAAATGGACAGCGCTGCACCTCCACACCCGCAAGCAGGACATCAAGCCGCTCACGGCGCCAGCGCGGCTTCGGCGCCTGTGTTGGGAATCCGAAGGGTGCATCTGCCAAGGGCCCGCGTCGATCGTGAATGTTTTCAAGGCCAGGCTGATGATCGTGCGGCGCGTGGCCGAGCACGCCGTCGGCGAGAAGCTCTTCAAGGCCAAGATGATTGCGAACAGGTACGTGATTAGCATGTCCACCCCAGCTCCCCCGAATGGCAGTTCCGATGGAGAGGTCGCGGGCGGCTCGCTTGCGATTGCACCAGCAACCGAGAGGACGTTGTACTTTCACATTGCGCTCCACTACGGCAAGCCATGGAGGCCGACGTTCATTCGCATGGAGCGTGAACCTGAGGGAGATCGTCTGGACTGCATTGGTCTGAGGCCTGTCCGTCTCGGCGCTGGGGTGCACCAAGTTCTAGATAGGCTCACGTTGAAACAGTTTGCTGACGCTTGCTTCGGCGAGTCGTGGGACATGCGGCCCTTCCAGGTCAAGTGGTACGAGTTCTACGCGGACAGCCGAAGAGTAGCGCAATGCCGTCCTTGGGTGCAGCGAGTTTTGGAGATCCCGATCGTGGATTGCGACCTGTGGACTGTCCGACCTCCACCACCGAAGCCTCGGAAGAGGAAGCGGCCTGGGGAGGGGCCGTCGGGCTCTGGGTCGAAGCCGAAACACGGGCCAGCCATGCTCGAGGGCGGCCCGCCCAAACCAGTGCCGATCGACGACCTCCCCGACGACGACGACAGCGGCGGGGATTCCGAGAGGCCCCCTTCTGACCCAGAGGAGCGCGGGAATGAGCCTGAGCCAGAGACAGATCTCGAAGATTTGTTCTTCTCAGGCGACGAGGGTGGCGGCGGCGATCCTGGGCCGTCGGGCAGCGGCGGTGGGCACCCTGACCCAGAGCCAGGACCTGAGTTCGCCGAGCCTGGAGGTGACGTGCCTCCGCCTCCAGCCGACGCTGATGATTTGTTTCAGGCCGCTGCCGCAGCAGTTGACGCAGGTGGAGGTGAGCCTTTAGGCGGAGGCGGAGGGCTTCCGCCAGCACCCGCAGCTGCGGTCTTCGGGATGGAGTTCGGCACCATTCGCTACTACCCCCGCACGTGCCGTTTTCAAGCCGATTGCAAGCGTCCTGAGCACAACATAGATTGCACTTGCTGCGTCAATAGAACCGCAAGGGCGAGCGCTGTGGCGAACCGTGCTGGCCAGGGCAGGCCGTTGGGTTTCCTGATGGCTTGGTTGCTGATGGACGGGCCGTGCCCCAGCCAGTACGACCACGTGCACATTTTCAACCCCAGCCTCGATGCGCGGCGCGAGGGTCGGCGTCGCCTCCGTGAGGCAGCTGCTGCTGGGAACGCAGCCGCGCAGGCGCTCCTGGCCGTGGAGCGCCACAGGAGGGACGGCGAGGATGACGAGCCAGACCACGTCCCCTAGACGGTTTGTGAAAACAATGCGAGGTCAATGCACGTGTTGTTGCTACGATTCTGATTTCGCGTCACTTCTTCTTTTGCCAGTCACATGTCCCAGCATAGCCTGAGCAAGCCTAACACAGCCAGGACAAAATAGACATTTGAAATGGTGCATGCATCTCACGTTCGACTGGGTATCAAGATACACGAATGTACGGCAATAACATCAAGCGCAGCGCAATGCAATCGCAATGCAATCGCATGCAATTCATAAGGTCAGCGTGCAAGCACGTGGGCATGTTTGAAAGATTTACGCGTCAGACTTCCGACGAAGCCTAGCTTGCTTCCAGCTCGTGCTTGCCGCTGCTACTGCGGCTGCCCTTTCTTATATCCTCCTGATGTTTCCACGTATCTTCCACCTCTCTGTTGCTTCTCCCCCGTGCCTGCTGCTGCCCATGCCCCTCCGCTAAGTATGAATAACCCTACTGCAGCTTCGCTGCCTAAGTGCACCATCTGGACACGACGCGCGCGTGCCCGTGCCCCGCGTGAGGGGCGTGCTGAAATGGTCGGCGTCTCTGGGGCTCCAGGGTTCCAGGGTTCGGGGCCTCTTGGCCCGAGGGTTCCCCTTTGGGCTCGGGGTGTCTTGGGTCAGGGCCCGCGGCGGCCTACGAGCTCGCTGGACTCAGCGCGTTGCAATAGCGGGAAGGGCGTGGAGGGGGGAAGAAAACGGAAGAGGGGAGGGCAGCAGGAGCGGGGCGAGCAGGGACCCCAAACCGGCCCCAAACGGACCCCGAAGCGACGCCGCCGAGGCCTTGGATATCAGTTTGGCCTTAGCTCCCTTGCGCGTCGTGCATGCCGTTGCTACCAGCAATTGCACAGCAAATGCAACGCAGCAAATGCAACACAGCAAATGCAACGCAGCAAATGCAGCGCAGCAGATGCAACGCAACAAATAGAACAAGGGGAGTTAGCGTAACTTATGGAATCGTTTGTCGTGGTAAAAGACGAGCTTAACGTAACGCAATGATAAGTGCGCGAGCGTGCTGTGCCGTGCCGCGGTGCCGTCTGGGGTGTGGGGGTCTGTGCCGTGCCGCTCGTGTTGTGCCGTGCTGCGGGCCAGTCTGGGGCTCTGGGTCGCAGGGGGCGCTCTGTCTTGGAAAGGGACCGCCATCCTTCGGGCTTGATCACACACAGAGCGAGGTGGAGATAACAGGAGAGCGCGCGAGGGACCGACGCCCCGCGGATTCGTGGAGAAGGAGGCGGGCAGGAGGAGAACCCGCCTGGCCGCTGTGCTGTGCCGCCAAGCGGCCTGGCAAGGCGGTCGGGCGGGATCGGCCTCGCCCCGACCAAGCTGTCCTTCGAATCTGAAGCGTTCGGCCTTCGGCCCGCCAGATATACAAGGCCTTCGGCCCTCGTCCGCCAGACCCAGCGATCCGCGTGACGGACGTGCCTAGATGGGCGGTGCACCAAGGGCTCCAGGGAACCATGGTCCAGGAGGGCTTTCCAGAGCCCGAGGGTGTCACTGTGGGGCCAGGGTGTCCTGGGTCAGGGTGTCCTGGGTCGGGCTGTCCTGGGTGTCGTCCCCCCCCCCTTCCACTGAGTGCCCGACGCATGGCGCCTGCCCTGCCCGCCCCGCCTTCGCCCCCGCGAGACACTGCGGCACCGCGACACCGCGGCACTGCGGCACGACAACATATGTAGGGCGTTCGCCTCTCCGCCCTGCCCCGATGCCGCCACGACGCCGCGGCATCGCCGTGCCAAGGCGCGGCAATATCGCGACGCCGCGGCAGCCGCGCGACATTCCCGCCCCATCCGATCGCACTATGGCGGCCGCGCAGGGGGCTCGTCTCCCCCCACAACTTCGCGTTTGCATCGCTGCTACGCCGAGTCAAAGCGACGCCGCGGCACCGCGCTTATGTGCGCGATGCCTCATGTATCGCTTCTTGTTCTGGCTTTCATCGCGATGCCAGTGCCAAAGGTTGCCTCGTGATTTGCGCGCGGGCTGCATTGGCTATGAGGGTTGCGCGGTGCGTGCTTCCTGAGAAGCCCAGGCCCGCGTGCGCAATGCGCTGAGCGCGGCGGCGCAGACCATTATCCATTTGCTCCTGGGACAAGTACAGCTCTGGGTATCAGTTTCATCTCTTGTTGCGTATCGCCGAGGGGCCAATGATCGGCGCTTAATGCGCAGTGCATGCGGGCCCCGACTGAGGCTGGGGGGCCCGTGGCCGAGGGCTTCGCTCGAGGCGCGGGCCGATGGCGCAACGCCCATGGGCGACGGTGCATGGTTTGCAACCGAGATGCATTGGCTCGCGCGCCGCGCCTAATGATCTCGCGACCGCGTTCTCGGGCGCAGCGTTTGTTATGAGGCCGAACGCGCAGAGCTCAGCGCGCGCGGCTACGGGCGCGCGGGCCCCTGCTTCAAGCTTGCAGCTACATGTTGAAGGCGCGGATTGGATGCAGAAGGCTCGGGGGCTCTGGGCGCTCGGTTCCAGGCTCGGGGCACGAGGCGGGCCTTGGGCCCAGAGCTCTTCGACGAGGGCCCGACAATTCGGACATAGGTCTGTGGCTCAGGGATTGCGCCGCCAGTTTTCTGGCGCTGGGCGCCAGTCCTATGGCTTCGGGCTTCGGGCTCAAAGCACCAGGCCCATGGCTGAAATGGGTTGCGGCTCAGAGGTGGCCGCCCCATGCTCATGGCGCAGGGCTTGGGGCGCGGGGTTCGCGGCAACATTTGCGACTCTCGGACGGTGGGTTTGGTTTTAACTTGGGCCCTGGGCGCCCTCGGTCTCTTGCCCAGCGCGCGCTGCTCGAAGCTCAGGGCTTGGGCCCTGGGCCCTGGGCGCGGGCGCGCCCGCGCCCGTTTCGCTCATTCGAGCATGTGTGCGTTATTACTTCAACAGCGTTCGCGGCGCGCGTGCTACCCCGCTCGGCCGCTGACGCGCGCCCGCGCGCGCGCGCCGCCCCGCGCGCCTCAGGCGCTGGTGTCGGGCGGCGCGGCTAACGCCATGGGCGCGCTGGCGTGCGGCTGCGTTTGCGGGCCGAGTAACCGCTGCATTCAGCTGGATGCGCCGCCGCCCCAAGCGCTCGGGGCGCGCGGGCGGGGCCGACACCGCTGTGTACGCGCTGCCGTGGCCCGCCCTGGCAGACGCATGCAGGTCGCCACGTCGACTACGCGCGGCGCGCCGCGGCTCCGCGTGGCGCGCCAGCCCATCGAAAGCGGAACGCCGACGTTTCGTGCGCTGGCCCATTCCATCAAAACCCAACCGCGGACCCATCGGAAACCCATCGGAAGGCCATCGTAAATCCATCAAAACGTCATCACAAAACGAACGAGTTTAAGGGTGGTTGATCAAAACGCCATCATAACGTCATCAAAACGTCATCATAAAGCCATCAAACGGGAGCGTAATGCCGTGCCGTGAAGGGCAGAGGCGCACTGGCTTGCCAATGCTGACAGGTATTTCGAGCCGCCTGCTCAGCGGGGGCAAGGGCAGCGTACTGCGAAAACGTATTATGTCATGTGCAGATATCGAAATTACAGCGCAGGCACCGCCAAACCATCAAAACACCACCAAAATCGATCATAAACCCATCAAAACGTCATCATAAACCCATCGTCATTCGGAGCGCGCGACCAAAACGTCATCATAAGGCCATCAAAGCGTCATCATAAATCCATCGAGAGGCCATCAAGGAGCCATGCGTTCTGGCATCGAGAATGCTTCGGGCGACCAAAACCTTATGGCGGTTTTACATTGCACGGCGCAGATCGATGCTCGGATTTTCGCAATCTACCCCCCCCCCCTCGAGCACCCCCCGATGCCTGAATTTTCGCAATCTACCCCCCCCCCCCCTCGCCTGGCCGCCCATTCGGCTGCGGCCCCGTCGGCGCTGTGCCAAGGACCGCGCCGCGTTGGCCCCATGCGGCTACGCACGTGGGAATGTACAGCGGGCGGCCGCCCCTTTCCTGCGCGTTCGCGCGCGCGCCATGCGAACCCGCCTGCCCAGCCGCCTTGGCGTCGGGGCGCCCCCGCCCCCCCACGCGCCGCGCTGCTGCGGGAGACCCTCGGCGCCCGCGCCGCGGGGGGGCAGCGGTGCGCGCGCCAGCGCCGCTCGATGCGGGCCTCCTGGGCAATGGCAGCGGGCCGCGCAGGCGCGCTGCGAGGGCCCGACGGGCTTCCCAGCGCGCCGCCGATCGGGGCGGCCCCGTGCGGGCAAGCGCGTTCGGGGCTGTCGTCGCTGGGCGGTCTGCATGGACCAGCGCGGGGCGGGGCTGCTCGCGGCGCCCGCGGGCGCCGCGATGCTGGCCCTGCGACGTCGCGCCCGCGGCCGACGGTCGGGCTGCAGAAGTTCGTGGATGTAACCAGCCCTCAGTCGCGCGCGCGAGCGCTGGAACTGCGATCTCGCGTGCACGGCGCGGGCGCATGAGCCGCGCGCTGCGCGCGATGTATCTCGCCGCAGAGCCGCCGCCGCTGTGGCGTGTTCGACGCGACGTGCCTGAGAATCGGTTTATCAGGTGGGACTCTCCTGTAGGGTGCGCCAGCGGAAGCGGCTGTTGCCGCGGCCATTCTGTTGGAAGAAGGCTGCGTGGGAGGGGTAGATGTCGGTCGGCTCGGCATGGCCAGGTGGTGGCTGACCAGTGTCGAGGTATGTGCGAGGCGGGGCTCGGGCATGGGATCGGCCCCCGCATCGGTGAAATTGCGGCGCCCCCCCCCCCCAATGGGATAATCCTGGTGGGGGCAAGTCTGGCGGGGCCCGCCCCGAGGGGCATCCGCTGCGCGGGCTCGGGTCATGCAGCCGGCGCCGCGAGCATCGGCTAGCGCGCGGCGGCGCGCGGCTGGGGGCGCCCCATGCCAGCCGCAGCAATGTCTGCGCAGCGCGCCCCGAGCAGCGAACCTCGCAAGAGGCCGACGCGGTTGGCGGACGCTCGGGTTCGACGCCCGCGGCCTCCTGGAGCATCAGGTATTTTTCAAAATCATATAGGCCCCTCCCAGAAATAAATAAGCAATTCCCAGCAATTAGATAAGT